GAGTTCCCTGTAAATGTTGGAGATTAAACCCTTATTGGAGATAACATTGGCAAATATGTTCTCCCATGCAGTGGACTTTCTTGTTGTTTTGTGGATGGTTTCTTTTGCTGTGCAGAAGCTTTTTATTTTGATGTAGTCTCATTTGCTTATTTTCTCTTTGGTTTCCATTGCCCTAAGAGCTGTATCAGTAAAGATTGCTATGACATGTCTGCTATTTTGCTGCCTGTAGATTATTCTGAGATTTTTATCGTTTCCTATCTTATGTTTAAGTCTTTTATCCATTTTGAGTTTATTTTTGTGTATGGTGTAAGTTGCTGGTCTAGTTTCATTTTTTTGCATGTATCTGTCTAATTTTCCCAACACCTTTTATTGAAGAGACTGTCCTGACTCCATTGTATGTTCTTGCCTCCTTTTTCAAATATTAATTGAGCATAATGGCTTGGGTCAATTTTTGGGGTCTCTTTTCTATTGCAAAAAAGGGAGCCCACTGTATGGGAAAACATATTTGGCAATGATACATCTGATAAAGGGTTAATATCCAAAATATATAAGGAACTCATAGAACTTAATAAGAGGAAGACAAAAAATTCAATTAAAAAAATGGGCACCTGTCAGAATGGCCATCATCAACAAATCAACAAATGACAAGTGCTAACAAGGATGTGAGCAAAGGGAACCCCTTTCACGGCTGGTGGGAATGCAGACTGGTGCAGCCATTATGGAAAACAGTATGGAGTTTCCTCAAGGAATATATCCTAAGATTCCCAAAACACCAAACAACATCAGAAAGAATATATGCACCCCTATGTTTATAGCAGCACAATTTACAATAGCTAAGATCTGGAAACAGCCCAAGTGGCCATCAGTAGATGAGTGGATAAAAAGGTTGTGGTATATTTATTCCATGGAACATTATACAGCAGTATCTCTTACCCTTTGAGACAGCATGGAAGGACCTGGAGAGTATCATGATAAGTGAAATAAGTCAGTGAGAGAAATCAAGTATTGCATGATCTCACTCATATGTGGAACCTAATTAACAAAATAAACTGATGAAGGGAGTGTATTCAGAGACATGGAAGCATGGAACAGAATGCAGAATCTCGAAGGGATTGTGGGGGAGGGTGGGTGAGTGGGGGGTAATCAACCAAAGACCTTATATATATATATATACGCATTACCCATAAACACAGACAATAGGGTGGTGAAGGCCTGGGGGTGAGGGTGGGGATAGTGTCAATAGGGAAAAAAAGGAAACATGTGTAATACTTTCAACAATAAAATTTAAAATACATGAAGAAAGAAATAAAACACAAAAACAAAATTGCAACTAAAATACAGAACAACCATCATTTAGAACCACCTGAAATCTCAATGAATGGAAGTCCTACAACTAGAGAAGTAAAGAAGAAGGCACATTGAGACTGGTAGAAGGGGCGGAGGGCCAGGCGGTGTTGGACTAGCACCTACATGTGTTGCTTTTTAAATCAGGAGGGAAATCATCTTTGTGGAGGCTGCCTGTGAAGAGCAAGGGGTCCCAGCCCTACACCAGACCCCCAGCCCAGGCTCTGAGAGCTGGGAAGAGAAGTCCCTATAACTACAGGTTGTAAAAACCAATAGGGATTGGAGCTCAGTGGCACGTAGGCTGATGGAGACCCAAATGTTCCTTTTAAAGGGCCAGCACACGGACTGAATTTACAAAGTCCCACTTCCTCTGAGCTCCAGCACCAGGGCGAGGCTCTGGGGACCCAGACACGTATGAGAAGGAACTGCATTGCATGGCATTGGAGCAGTAACTGGGGGGCAGCTTTCTCCCAGATGGAGGTGCTCATTAAAGGTCATTGTTCCTGTGCTGGGACCTCCCTGGTTGCAGGGCTGACTGACAGCCGTATCTGTTTGCTCTGCCCTGGTGATTCCCTGAGACCCCTCCTGATCCAATCTGAAGCCCCACCTAACCTGTTTGCAGTGACTTTTGCATATGAATGGCCTGTCTTAGCTCAAGCTTCAGACTTCCCTAAAATCTCTCAAACAAGCTACAGCTGGGTCAGCATGTGCCAAACCTATCAATATAGGTCCAAGACACTGCACTAACACAAGCCTGCCTTGCTTCACAGCTGGGCCTTGCCTGGGCACCTCTAATCCCAATACAAATAGCCCCTGCAGAGTGAACCTCATCAGTGGCTGACTTTGCACCTCCCTGGAGGCCCCAGAGCCAGTACACCCAGTGGGCAGCTTCTGACCATAGCAGATTACAACTCTACACATCCATAAGTAACACACTCAAGGGGCAGACTCAGCACAAAAGCCCCACTGAAGCAAGTCCAGCTCCACAGGGGTGTTTCCTGCACAGCAGCTCTCCCACTTTAGCCACAGCTGGTCCTCACAGCCAATTGGCCTGGAGATTAACTCCTCCTAGAGACACCAACAGCAACTAAGGCTCAACTACAAGACTGTGTACACAGCCCACACATGGATGTACCTAGAGTATCCAGCTCAGGTGACTGGGGAGGCTGAGCCACTGGGCCCTACAGGACACCTACTACACAAGGCCACTTCACCAATTCCAGGAGACACTGCAGCTCTACCTAAAACATAGAAACAAACACAAGGAAACAGACAAAATGTGGAGACAAGGAATCATGTCACAAATGAAAGAAATGGAAGGAAGCAAACTTTGGGATACAGAGTTCAAAACCATGGTTATAAGGTTACTCAGGATCTTCATGGGACTTTCAAGGATCTTAGTGAGAAAGTCAAAGACATGAAAAAGGACTAGTCCAGTGGTTCTCAACCTTCTGGCCCTTTAAATACAGTTCCTCATGTTGTGACCCAACCATAAAATTATTTTCGTTGCTACTTCATAACTATAATGTTGCTACTGTTATGAATCGTAATGTAAATATCTGATATGCAGGATGGTCTTAGGCAACCCCCGTGAAAGGGTCATTCGACCGCCAAAGGGGTCGCGACCCACAGGTTGAGAATCGCTGGACTAGTCAGAAATTAAGCATACACTAACTGAAATTAAAAAAAAAATTTACAGAGATTCAACAGTAGAGTAGAGGAGTCCAAAAATCAAATCAACAATGTAGAATATGAGGAACCAAAAAAAACACCTAATTAGAAGAGAAAAAAGAAAAAAAGAATCCAAAAATATAAAGACAGTGTAAAGAGCCTCTGAGATAACTTCAAGTGTACCAACATTCACATTATTGGGGTGCCAGAAGAAGATGAGAGACAGCAAGATATTGAAAACCTATTTGAAGAAATAATGACAGAAAACTTCCCCTACCTGGTGAAGGAAATAGACTTACATGCCCAGAAAGAACAGAGCGTTTCAAACAAGAGGAACCCAAAGAGGCCCACAGCAAGACACATCATAATTAAAATGCCAAGGGCTAAAGACAGAGAGAGAATCTTAAAAGCAGCAAAAGAAAAGCAGTTAGTTACAACTGTCAGATGATTTCTCAACAGAAACTTTGTAGGCCAAAAGGGAGTGGCAAGAAATATTCAAAGTGATGAATAGCAAGGACCTACAACCAAGATTACTCTACCCAGCAAAGCTCTCATTAGGGTCAGATAAAGAGCTTCACAAAGAAGAAAAAGCTAAAAGAGTTCATCACTACCAAATCAGTATTATGAACTTTTAAAGGGTATTGAAGAAGAAGAAAAGAAGAAGGAAGAGAAGAAGGAGAAGGAGAAGGAGGAAGAAGAGGAGGAGGAGGAGGAGGGGGAGGAGGAGAAGGGGAACAAGAAGAAGAAAATATAAACAATAAAATGGCAACAAGAATATAACTATCAACAATTGAATCTAAAAATCAAAATAAACAAACAAGAAATCTAATGAACAAAATAAACGGTCAAATAAAATAGAATCAGAGGTACGGAAGCATGGCACAGACTGATGAATCTCAGAGGGAGGAGGGGAGGGAGAGCTGGAAGAGATTAACCAAAGATCTTACCTATGGACACAGACAGGAGGGTGGTGAGGGCCTGGGGCCCATTGGGAATCAGGTGGAGAGGGACAATGGGGGGCGGGGAGGGAGAAGGGGACATCTGTAATATTCTCAACAATAAAGATTAAAAATAATAATAATAATCAAATCTCGTAGCCCAGCTGGTGTGGTTGAGTGTTGATCCATGAACCAGGAGGTTACGGTTCAATTCCTGTTCAGGGCATTTGCTGGAGTTGTGGGCTCGATCCCCAGTAGGGGTCATGCAGGAAGCAGGCAATCGATGATTCTCTCTCATCATTAATGTTTCTACCAACCTCTCCCTTCCTCTCTCTGAAATCAATTATAACATAGAAAAAATTAATTAAAAAATCTCTTAACCTAGGGCTAGCATTTGGCCTTCAAACTACTTTTGGGTTTGAGGATGTCTCTAGGATCTTTTCATCCATCCAATTCATTGTCATAAAAAGAATCAGGTCCAGCTGAACAACCTGCTCTGGCAGAGACTGACAGGCTACTTACTAAAACTGTCTTCTCTTCCTGGGCACAAAGTCATGTATCTGGGTGGGGCTCTGTGACTAGTTCTTGCCACATTTTCACTCTCTCCCTGATGTCTACCTGGTAAATGATGCCAGAGTCATCTTTTTTCTTCTTTTCTTCCACCAGAGTAATTTTTAAAGACACATGTTAATAGAGCCACAATATGGGAAGGGCCTGGGTCTCTAAATGACTATGTGGAGTGAAACTTCCCTGCTTACTGATATTTGACTGTGATATGGGCAAGAAAGTAATCTTTGTGTTAAGTGACTTAAGATTTGAATTTTTTAAAATAGCAGTTATTGCTACTTATGCTAATAAACTTGCATAGGTGATACCCTAATTGGTGGTAAAGATATTACTAGAAACTAATCCCCTATTTCCTTTGATGATTAACAAATATAATTCCATTCATATGTAACTTACATAATTATTATATTAATACACTAGCTTACAAAAGTTATAACAATTAGAGCATGTGATTTAATGAATAGAAAAATAGTGACTTACCTAGAGATCGAATGCCTTTTTGTACAAGAAAACTGTTCAAAATAGTTGTATTCAGATTTAATATAAGTCCCAGTGCTGGTGTAAGTTTCCAGAAGCCATCCTATGAAGTTCAGAAAACAAATTTAACTAACATTCTTGAAATTTCATCACATAAGTTATGGGATGAGTAAGTTTCCAATTATTTCAATTCAGTTTATTAAGACATGTCTAAAATTTTTATTACTGTAAAATCAAAGTTCTTCATATACTAGAGACACAGTACATACTATAGACACTAAATATCTAGTGGCATTTATAAAAAGTCTGAAAAAAGGCACATGTGTAGAGATATTTTTAAAATGGTACTATATATTTTTTCTTCTAACAATGCATTGTTTCTCAAAGCAATGTTCCTCAAACTTTTAAATAGCATGATTCCTTTGTTAAACATTAAAAATGTGCCCTTATGATGTCTGAATCATGAAACTGACAATTTTTTACTAAATATAAAATTTTTATGTTGAATATGCTCTTTCAAGTTATTTCCTTGTGTTCACTGTCCCCCACCCACCCCAGCAAAGAACCACTGCTTTTCAGGCTAACCTTTGTCACATGCTTGTGGGAGCGAGGTAAGCTTCCATGTGAGGATTAGACAGACTCTAGGTCTCAGGGGAACCCATACAGGGAGCAGAAAGGAGGGTGATATCACAGGCAGATGCACATGTTAAAGAATCTATGGCCATAATTTGAAAAATACCAGCAGTGATAATATGTCCCAACCAGTATTGAACAGGTGCTAGGTGGTATTTTATCTTTTCAGCCATTCTTTGTGGAGGTATTATTATTATTATAGCCACTTTGCAGATTGAGGACACTGGAGTACAGAAAGGTTAAGGTACTTGTTCAAAGTTACACAGCTAAGAAGTGGCACAGCCAGGATTTAAGCCCTAACAGTTTGGCTCCAGGGTCCACAGATAGCAGTGGCTGCTATACTGCTACCTATACTGTGGTTATATACATCTTTCCAGGTTAGGGCAGCTGGGCAACTGTTATTATCTTGTTTAAACCTGAAACCACAATACAATGTAGATACTATTATTATTCCCATTATATGGGTAAGGAAACTGAGGCTGAAAAAGGTTATCTGACTTGCCCCAAATCACCAAGTAGCAGCATTGGGACTCAAACTTAGTCTTATACAAAATCCAGTTGTTTCTGTTACTAAACGACATCAAAAGAAATAACTATAGATGTGAGAGAGGGCCTTAGTACCTGTGCAGGAGGTAAATTTATTTAATCATTCCGTTTGAGAAGCTAATAAGCACAATCCTAGATCCTGACACATGCTCTAACACAATCTTACATACTGAGTAACATTCCTAGGACCTTCTGCAGAAATATTTAGAGTATGCTTACTAGTATAGTGTCTGTGCTTAACATCACAATGGGAAATTCATGTGACTTGCAGATCATCAGTCCTAGAACCTAGGAAATTAAGGTCTTACCCTTGGCCCATTCAGGGATGCTCATTTTCAGCTGAGAAATATTATCATTCATTAGCATGATATTCTGGCCAAAGGGTTATAAGTAGAGAGACAAACAACAGTCATCACAGAGTACACTGTTTTGTGCAATTGCCTTTTTTTAAAAATTTCTCAGTAAGATTTTCTCAATGAAGGAAGCAGTGTGTTGATATACTCTGTCACAAGACCCTTCTTAACTCACTGTGGATTGGTCATATACAGTTCAATGACCAGCTACTTTGAGCAGTACTGTTCTCAACTATGAAGCAAATCAACAACAGATATAGGTGAAATAAGACTAATACCTCGGTTTGCAGACTGAAGAGTTCAGTCCCAGGCACAAAATTCATCCAGCTTTCTTTGCAGTCTATGTCATCCCCGTCGTTTAGTACCGGAAAGCTTGCAGGAAAGTCTCTTCTTGTTATATCAGATTTTTCTACCTTTTTAAAAAGCCTACTTGCAAAAAATCCTGGTGTTTCATCACTTTCTGTTTCAAAAGAACTTAAGCCAGTCAAATATGTATGTGGGAGAGAATCTGATGATGCAGTTCTTGCAGAAATATTTAATGGAGAAGCCCCACATGTTGGAGGAGCCCATAGGGAGCAAAGCCAATTTGATGCATTGGCTGCTTGTAACTGGTGCTCAAGGGAGCTGAGGAATTTGGAAAATAAAGAGGAGAGGAACCAGGAAGAAGATGAAAGCTAGACCCTCCGGTTGGACCAGGGGGAGGAAGTCTAGGAAAAGAGAACAAAGGATTCTGCTGAGGGGGAGAGTCCAACTCAAGGGAACTGTCAGTAAAAGGACAGAGCTCAGGGCCTTCATTCATTGTAGGTAGATCAGACTGTCTGCAGCTAAATAGGACACCTGAGAAAGCAGAACCAGTAAAAGATCCGAAAGGCAGGTTGTGGGAAGGCAGGCTGGGAGGAGAACCCCACTGAAGGGAAACGCCAGGGCAACAGTCTGTCTTAAGGCCTTGTTCATTATTAGGTGGATCAAACTGTTTGGGACTAGCAAGAGAACCAAAAAGAGAGCTCCGAGGATAGAGGAAAGCAGAACCAACAGAGGAAGCAGCTAGGGAACTGGTTGAACCAGGGGCAGCAAAGGATTTGGAAAGAGCCACTTTAGGTGAACTGGCTTTTGTAAAATGTGGTTTAATTTCTGTGTGTTTAAATGAATCTACCTGACTTAAGTCCAATGGCCTTTCTACATCTCTACATTCAAAATTCTGTGTTAAAGATTTTTCTGGTATGTGGAAACCTAAGCTACACTCTCCAAAACCTTTAAAAACTTCCAGCTTAGATGATTTATATTTTTTTTTAGTCAAACATTCAAGTTGCAGTTCTTCGTCCCATCCAGAGGATGCTAAAAGAGTCTGCCCAGAAGAAAAAATTATGATGTCAGGGAAAACAGAATAAAATGACCAATCAAGCAAATGCCGTTCTTAGTAGCTGACTTCCCTGTAGTCAAGCAATTGCTTATCCCAGAGAATTGAAAAAAAAAAAAGCTATTCAAGATCATTTAAATGAAACACCCTCATTTTATAGGTATGGAATATGAGATTTGGAGAGGATAGCAGCAATGAATATATAACAGACCTTAATCTCTCTTAGTTCTCAGAATCACAGAATTTTGAACACCCCTTATTTTACACCAGAGAAAACTAAAGACCATAGTAGTGATTTACCCAAGATTTTACAATGAGCAGTGTCATAGTGTGTAAACTAGCCCTAAAATAAGCTGGTAATTTGAAATAAAATTTTCTAGTCCTTTATACTGTTTTACAGCAATATTCAGAAGATGAGAAAACTGGAAAAAAATTCAAAAGCTTTAAAGTAACTAAATGAATATATCTTTATACCAGAATATAAACAAAATATATAACAAAAGGGATTGAAAGGTGCTATGTTACTATTATTGTTTGAATATAATTTAAAGAGAATTCCTTAAAAAGTTACATGTAAATAAAATGCAGTTTTATATGAATTACAAGCCCTTGAGGCATTTTGGAATTGGGTAGCCTCTAATTTTACCAATGTAAATGAGCTATTTAGAATTTTCAAGAATCAAGATGGTGGTGCCTCCCACAACCACATCAAAATTACAACTAATATACAGAACAACCATCATTCAGAACCACCTGAAAGGTGGCTGAATGGAAGTCCTACAACTAGAGAAGTAAAGAAGAAAGCACATTGAGATTGGTAGAAGACACATAACGGGCTGGTCCCACACTCATGTGTGCCTTTTTTTTTTTTTAATATATTTTATTGATTTTTTACAGAGAGGAAGGGAGAGGGATAGAGAGTTGGAAACATCGATGAGAGAGAAGCATCGATCAGCTGCCTCCTGCACACCCCCTCCTGGGGATGTGCCTGCAACCAAGGTACATGCCCTTGACCGGAATCGAACCTGGAACCCTTCAGTCCCCAGGCCGACGCTCTATCCAATGAGCCAAACCAGCTAGGGCTGTGTGCCGTTTTTTTAATTGGGAATTTAAAAAGAGTAGTCCTTTCCCAGCTCAATCAAGTTTTAAGCATAAATTTAAGTAATTAATATTGAAGAACATATGACAAGACATACATTCCAAAATAATTGTTAAAAATAGAAGAAAAGAACCAAGATGGCAGCATAGGTAAACAACTGAACTTGCCACCGCGCACAATCACAATAAAACTATAACTAAAAGACAAAACGAATATCATCCAGAACCATGGGAAGGCTGGCTGAGTGAAAATTCTACAACTAGAAGGAAAGAGAAAAGCACATTGAATCCGGTAGGAAGTGCAGAGGTGTGGAAGTGTGGAGGTATGGAGGCGTGCGTAAAAGGGGCTGGCAGCTGGGTATGCTGTTGTCGTTTTCAACCAGGAGGGAGATACAAGCTCCTGACTGCTCTGAACTCCAGTTCCAGGCGAGAATTTGGGGACCCAGACTCATACGGAGAGAAACTGTACTGTCTCGCATGGGGCCAGAATGTGAGGGCGGCTTTCTAGCAGAGGTGCTTGCAACTTTCATTGTTCCTGCACAGGGCCACAGGACATAGAGACCCAGGGACCAATCGGGGGAGGGTAACCATTGCTGTTTGCACCGCCCCATGATTCCCTGAGACCACGCCCCACTCAATTTACAACTCCACCCAAGCTGTGCGCAGAGGCTTCTGCATACTAATGGCCAGCCTTTCTACACCTAAAAAACCTGTCAAACTGTAGCTGAGTCAGAGAACCCCAGAGCTTCCAAAAGAAGGCCTAAGGCATGTCAGCAGCCTGCATTACTTCACAGCTGCGCCTCATCTGGGCACCTCTGCAAATCTCTCTGTAGCTCCTGCTGGGTGGCCCCAGGAAGTGGCTGACTTTGCTCCTCCTTGAAGATCCAAGAGCCAGTGTACAGTGGTTAGTGTGAGACCATAACAGATTACAACTTTTCACATCCATAAGTGACACACTCAAGGGGCAGACTTAGTGAGTACCAAAGCCCCACTGATGCAAGTCTTGCCTTATAAGGGTGTTTCCTGCATAGCAGCTCTCCCACTGTAGTCATAGCTGGTTCCCACAGCCAATTGGCCTGGAGGTCCATTCCTCCCAGTGATACCAACAGCAATCAAGGCTCAACTACAATAAGACTGTGCACACAGCCCACACAGGGGTGCACCAAGAGTGTCCAACTCAGGTAATTAGGGAGGCTGAGCCACTGGGCCCTATAGGACACCTAGCACACAAAGCCACTCTATCAACACAGGGAAGCAGCCAAAATGCGGAGACAAACAAACAGGTCACAAATGACAGAAATGGAGGAAAGCAAACTACTGGATACAGAGTTCAAAACCATGGTTATAAGGCTACTCAGGAATCTTCTAGAAACCTCAAGAAATATAGTGAGACTCTCAAGGATATGAAAAAGGACCAATTAGAAATTAAGCATACACTGACTGAAATAAAGAATAATATACAGAGATCCAACAGCAGACTAGAGGATCGCAAGAATCAAGGCAAAGATTTGAAATACGAAGAAGCAAAAAACACACAACCAGAAAAGCAAAAGGAAAAAAGAATCCAAAAATATGAAGATAGTTCAAGGAGCCTCTGGGACAACTTCAAGCATACCAACATCTGAATTATGGGGGTGCCAGAAGAAGAGAGAGAGCAAGATATTGAAAACCTATTTGAAGAAATAATGACAGAAAATTTCCCCTACCTGGTGAAAGAAATAGATTTACAAGTCCAGGAAGCACAGAGAACGCCACACAAAAGGAATCCAAAGAGGACCACACCAAGACACATCATAATTAAAATGCCAAGGGCAAAAGACAAAGAGAGAATCTTAAAAGCAGCAAGAGAAAAACAGTTAGTTACCTACAAGGGAGTACCCATACGACTGTCAGCTGATTTCTCAACAGAAACTATGCAGGCCAGAAGGGAGTGGCAAGAAATATTCAAAGTGATGAATAGCAAGAACCTACAACCAAGATTACTCTACCCAGCAAAGCTATCATTTAGAATTGAAGGTCAGATAAAGAGCTTCACAGATAAGAAAAGCTAAAGGAGTTCATCACCACCAAATAAATTATATGAAATGCTGAAGGGTGTTCTTTAAGAAGAGGAAGAAGAAGAAAAAGGTAAAGATAAAAATTATGAACAACAAAGTGACAGCAAATACATATCTATCAACAAGTGAATCTAAAAATCAAGTAAATAAAAACTCTGATGAACAGAATAAACTGGTGAATAGAATAGAATCAGGGTCATAGAAAGGGAGAGGACTGACAATTCTCGGGGGGAAGGGAGTGTGGGGGGTGCGGAAAGAGAATGGACAAAAATCGTACACCTATGGATGAGGACAGTGGCGGGGGGTTAAGGGCCGAGGGTGGGGTGGGAACTGGGTGGAGGGGAGCTATAGAGGGAAAAAGAGGAACTACTGTAATAATCTGAACAATAAAGATTTATTTTAAAAAATCATGTTTATCTGTTAAAAAAAGTTCTTAATCAGATAACTGAAAAAGAACAATTACATTAGTGATGGGCTAGACTTATTAAAGTATTTTGTTAAATTACAATAATTAGACAAATCAATAGGACAGATCACCTGGTCCAGAAACAGATCCTAAAACATGTGGGACTCTAGTAGATGATAAAGATGGCATTTCAAGTCAAATAGGAGGAAAAGAAGAATTATGCAATAGATAGTGTTAGAAAAAGTTGGCAGCTACCTGAAAAAGAATAATGTTGGTTGCAGACTTCCTATCTTATACCAGAATAGATTCCAATTGTGTGAAAAATTCAAACATGAAACCATAAAATGATTTAAAGATATAATTAAGGGGAAATTTAATTTAGCATAATCCCTGAACAGGAAAGGTATTTCTAAGCATGACAAAAAACAAAAATGATACAAAACAAAACCACCAAAAGTGAATTTTAAAATTTACATATAACCTGTTTGCTCTACATAAAACCACAGCACATTTACTAGTAAACAGCTATCCATTTTGCCTGGCTGGTGTGGCTCAATTGGTTGGGCTTTGTCCTGCGCACTGAAAGGATTTGGTTCGATTCCATAAATAGCTAACTGGTTTTTGTGTGTGTGTGTGTGTGTGTTTTTTTTAATGTTTGAAAAGCTTCCTTTGGAACAGTGGTTCTCAGCCTTCCTAATGCAGTGACCCTTTAATACAGTTCCTCATGTTGTGGTGACCTCCAATTTCATTGTTACAAATTGAACATAATTAAAGCATAGTGATTAATCACAAAACAATATGTAATTATATATATGTTTTCCGATGTCTTAGGCGACCCCTGTGAAAGGGTCGTTCGACCCTCAAAGGGGTCGCGACCCACAGGTTGAGAATCGCTGCTTTGGAATCTGAAAGGAATGATTCAAAACCTGGCAAAGATAACACACACACACACACAAACTACAGACCAATGTTTCTGATGAATACATATGCAAAAATCCTAAAGAAAATACTACCAAATCAAATTCAACAATACATTTTAAAAAAATGATACTTCACGATCAAGTGGCATTCATTCCAGGGTCATAAGGATGGTTCAGCATACACAAATCAATCAATGTAATACACCACATTAACAAAACAACAGATAAAATTCCTCTGATCTTATCAATAGATGGAGAAAAAAACATTTGATAAATACAACATTCAGTTATTATTAAAACACTCAATAAAATAGGAATAAAGGAAAGTACTTCAACATAATAAAGGCCATGTATTACAAACCCTCAGCCAATATTATACTCAATGGCGAAAAACTATAAGTTTTTCCTCTAAAATCAGGAACAAGACAAGGGTACTCATTCTCACCACTCTTAGTCAACATAGTTCTGGAACTCCTAGGTAGAGTAATAAGCAAGAGAAAGAAATAA